CAGCTTGTTGCCAAACAGCTTATTGCAGTTGGCAAAGTTTTTGAACAAACCAATGCAAAGGTCGCGTATTTATCCAAGTGTGTGGAAAAGAATATCCGTCAGTATCAAATTCATGGATTGTAGATTGAAAACGCGTGAATAGAGCCGCTGAGCGGGTGTAACATTTACCAAGTGTTGCTGGCTTAGTTTCTCCTGCATTAAAAATATATTTGTTTTGTCTATCCAAAAAGGAAAATTAACACAATTTGTTTAAGCAACACTGTAAGGCTTGCTTTGAATTACCAAGGGAGTAGTCATTCAAGGAATATTATTTTTTTGTTTGCTTTCTTTTTTTCATAAAACAAAGTCTGCGAAATGCTCTGTGTGGGAGAAAGATGTTTTTTCACATGGCAATCATCCTGATCACAAAGGAAAGGTTACAAATGAGAGGAGGGCATTCAGCCCATCAAGCCCCATTAATTGATCCTAAGGATCTCTCCCACCTGTTTCTTGGATGAAGCCAGTTTATCGGCTTCAATCACGAAGCAGGGCAGCCTGATCCTTACTCCTGCTGCATATCCTACACAAATTGTCGAGGTCATACACAGTCCATAGCATGTGGGGATGGGCAGGCTGTGTAATCACGGAGGTGCAGAAGAGGGGTGTTTGGAAATAAAGTGTTGATGGAAATAAAGGGCTAGTCTCACACAGGGAGAGCTGCCTCCAATCTGCAGGCAAAGGAAGAAAATCATCTTTCCACAACACCAAGCAACACCAAGCAGCACTAAGCAACCCCTTTAATATTCCGATGAGGTCTCTAAAAGGAGTTGCTCCTGTACAGGCTTGTGGTTAGAGTAGGAGTATTGTTTGTTCAAACATATTCTGTGTCTTTGGATCTATATTTGTCCTATTTTACTTATTTAACTTTGTCCAGACCAGTCTTGTCCAGTTAAGGAGCACAGTCAGACTGAGAAATGGATAGTTTCATCACAGCGTAATCATCCTCAATGGAAGCTATTTAACCACATTAAAGTGATAAGGGTGAACTGGACAGGAGAGTGATTAAAAGGACAGAGACAGCATAAATATGCTCTGGGAAAAGAAAAACCCTTGACAAAGATAAATGACAATTCCCTGCTATTGCTGCATGACTGCTGGCCCAACGTAGATGTAGCTGTGATCCAGCATAAAGAAGGGCTGGTTTGTAATAAAATGAAAATGAAACACACCCTACCACACCTACTGTACTCATCAGATGCTGATCAATTTTAGTATGTATCAGAACTTTACTTTGAATATGGATTTCAACTGAGTCATATCTCACTTTCATGAGTCCAGGTGCAGGCCTGCTTCTGGGGTTGTTTGCTTTCTGTCACAGTGAAGTGCCTCAGTCCTTTTCACATCCCACCTGAAATATGAGTTTCATGATGTCATTTTTTTGTTAAAGTTGCTAACAGTCTTCTTATGACTTTGATTCTGGTCCTCTTTACTTTAGTAAACTCTTACTTTAGTGATTTTGTCCCGCTTGGAGGTTTCAGTTCTGAAACTGGGCTTCTTAAGTCTCGTGTTCCTCAGGGCTTGATACTTGGTCCCTACTATCCAGCACCTAAATGTTTCCACTTGGTCAGTTATTAAAATCACATGGTCTCAATTTCTATGCTGATGATACTCAAATCTATATCAATGCAAAACATCACACTGAAGTAGCTCTCTCTGATTGCATCCCTGATACAAAAACCCTGACTTAGATTTTAACACTAAAGCTGTTAATTTTTAATGAGTCATTTCCATTATGTACTTATTTTTTTCCTTTGTTAAATATTCCCAATGCTGTTTATTATAAAACCATATGTATGACATTATATTTGTTCTATTTATGAAATAATGAATATATCTACAAATAAGCACTAATGATAGTTTGCTCTATAACCACAAATTTGTAAACATTACCACTGTTTAAATGGGTTTAGAAATATAATCTTCAGATCCTGGCAGGATTCATTGAAAGGTCATGATAAAATATATCTGAATTTGTTCTCCCCTGCAGCTAGGTATGTTATTAATGATTTTCTCCCCAACTCTGCTCTACTGTGAGATCTAGTATCTTTCATTTCTAAAGTCTCATATAACAGTCAGAATACTTGGAATTAATTATGATATCTAAACACACAAAAGCTGTAAATGTGAAATACAATATGAAAGCCAAGCAACCCAGATGATTTAATAGAATGATTGTCAAAAATCAATGATAATTCCAGCAGTATTTAGAGCATATTTGGACATAGTGTACAGTATAGTAGTGAACTGAATGTGAGAAACTCTAGAAACTCTCCACTTCTTGGCTGAGAACATTATTTTGGTTTTCGTCCATCAGCTCAACACACAGCTCCCAGGTCCTCCGAGATTCTATAGTTTACCTGGAAAACTGATGGAGCATTCGGCTGTTTCGCTAAGTACAAAGCACTTAGACTGACTAGTGAAAAGCTCGTTAAACATGAAACATGGGGGGGCATAGAACTGGCCTGTCTTAAACATATGAAAATCCCAAGCAGACCATGAAAAAGGATCTTCTGAGTGGCTCAGCTGTTAGAGTCACTCATCCTCTCGCTGGCTGAGCTCTGTAATCGCAGGCTCGAGTCTGGGTCTTGTCACTATCTGACCTGGATTTCCGAAGCTGAGGGTGTGGTGGGATGAACTGGCTAGGACCAGTCTCTCCTGAGGCCAGTCTGGTACTGTCTGCGTGGAACACGCCTCTCCTCCAGTCAGTGGTGTGCTGTGCGGGGGATGTGTTAAAAAATACAGCAGGTCAGAGGTACCTGCCTACACCTCCACTTCCCTGTGTGTGGCTTCACATGTTGCACATAAAGCAATTCAATTGATTCAATTGAAAAAAACACTTGACAAATGTTTTCTATGTGTTAAGCATCTAAGTATATTTTTAGGAATATTGTGTCCCACTGTACTTTGACTTTTAAGGCAAATACAGTCTTCAGTGACTGTACCCAAACACATCTTGAATAGTGCCTGCACACTGTTTCTGTTATACAAACAGTTCATTAATTACATGTTACATATTAATCAGCAATGTGTAAAGGGATGTAATGAAACAGAACTCCACTCGGATTTGATCTCTACTAGTTTTACTGTAATTATTTCTCTCATTGCAAAATATTATGATTTGGACTCATGTGCTGTCTGCGACATTGAGTGTTGCTGTTGGATTCGAGTATAGTCTGAAACCGTCTATTCATGTCTATTCAAGTGCTTCAGAGGTTGTCACCATTTGTCTCTTAGTGAAACTGACAAAAATCCATTGCTTCATGTTCATTTCATGTTTCCCCATGAAAGGTCAGTGATAACCATGAGTCCACCCTAGGAGACCTCTGAGATTTACCTGTGTAAATCTTCAAGTAATTGTTTAAAGTGTGTTTTCACATGGGATCAGTTAGTGTGTGTTGTGTGTTTATAAGGGCTTGTGACTCAGTGACAGGAAGATTTGGGTGGGGTCAGGGGACTGAGGAGAGCTGACTTGGCATACTGTTGGTGCTGCTGGCTTGGAGCAGCTGAAGTAGAAGCAGAAAAGCTCTTGGACTTTCAGAATATCAGACTTCAGAGATTATGAAGACACCCTGAAACTTGATATCAAAATGGAGATCTTCTACACTTCCCTGCCTGGGACAGCAACAAGCTTGAGGTCTGAAAATGATTTTATTATTTGTCAAAAACAGTAAGTTGTAAAATTACTGTTAGAATATAATTAGTGTGATGTAGAAATTTAAGTTAAATGCTTGTTTTAACACAATAGGTACACATTACACTTCCAGAAATAACGGTAAGGCAAGATACAACATTCAGCACGTGACATTGGTGGGATAAATTCCAATTATCTTTTGAAAAATATGGAACAACATATACTCTATAAAGGTGATGTTTAGGGGCTTATAGCACATACATGCTTTCAGAGAATCGTGCAGACTGAAAGAGATACTGTTCTCATTAGCCTAACAAGGCTGGGAACAGAGTTCATACTGCAGAGAAGAAAACTAACTGGGGTCCAACACTGAAGTCATGGCATGTGATGTTTCAGTGCTGTGATTCAGATCAGTCTTTTCAGGGCAGAACTGCAAGACAGACGAATCAGCTGTGAATCCCAGAACTCTTAAGCAGACACACATATTTGTACATAGTTTGGTGTTTTTGACCGTCTGCCGCAGAGCACTTCACAGAATACTGCCCGAGTTAACAGTATCGTGCAGCTGCAGCTGGCCATGTGGGAAGAGAGGAGAGGGGATCCTCTGGGGGTCCCAGGTCCCAGGGCCAGTGGTTTCCCCTCCAGGCCATGTGCCAGGGACATGCTGGGGGCTGGGGCGGCAGGGTTCTGCCGGAGCAGCAGCTGAGGTTTCCCGGGTCAGTCAGGTGGATCCCAGCGCCGGAGCCCAGGAAGTGGGAGTATAAAAAGACTGGAAAATCTGTTATATTACCTGGGTGGAAGACCACGGTGTTAGATACATGACATGATATAAAACTATGAATATTGGCAACCCCATTAGTTTGCAGGCTAAAATAAACAGACAAATGAAACAGAGGAGCCTTGATTTACAGTATTTCGAAGGTCATTTTACATTTCAGCAGCTCTCTAGCTAAAGGCTTTCACCAATTTGGTTTTATGTGTGACTACTGTTGTTTTTTATACTAATATGTCTTGTTTAGTGAAGAATCATTTATATTTAGCTTATTTAGTCTACTGTTGAATTAGCTAGACATCTTAAATATATTAGCTACTTATTGAATGGTAACTGAGTCTTATAAAAATATTGGCATGAAGTGGTTTTTATTTAAATAATACATTCCAGCCTCTTTAATGATCAATTATCAATGATCAATTATATAGATTATAATATAATTATTCTGTTATATTCATAATTAACTGTAGATCCAGTCTCCATGTTTACAGAAAATTACAAAAACAAAAATATTTTCAAAAAAGATCACTCCCTCAAACTGAAAGAAATGTGACATGCAATTACAAAAGAAGAAATGCAAAGATCTCAAACAGAACAAGAATGTCAACATTCTGAGGTTATTTGTGTCCTGTTTGCTCAGAACAGGGTTAATGTCTTTTGTTTGGAGTAGAGGAAAAGCAACAGCACACTCTCAGTTAAGCTTTAACAGACCTCAAGGCAAGCTTTCAAAACAGAGAGCAACAACCCTCTGGTTATATGACAAAATAATCATAGACTGACCCATCTAGCATCTCACACTTTACCCTTCTTTGCAGTTTCTTGACTTTCAAATTACATTGCTTACAGGCCCTTTATGTGACATTTCTTAAACTCAGTAAGCTAATCATAAGGACAGCTTGATTGCTAGAAGGTGAGAGGCATGGTAATAACCATTTTCTCTACAGAAAACCCTGTACAGAGGTATAGTGGAAGGAGCAAAAATGGAGACTGCAGACATCCTATTTGCATACAAAATGTGTCTGGAGACTTATTAAAGGTATTTAACACAGCTGTGGACCATAATTATCTCAGGTCATTCTTTAGTAGGTTCAGAAAGAAAGTGCAATACTTGTCATGCAGAACTCCTCTTAGACTACATTTTCTGTGATGTAAGAAGGACATTTAATGACTGAGGGAAATATATCAAAATGTAAAATAAAAAAGCAATGCAAATTATTTCTCTGATTGCATGCATTTCCTTTGTTTCTCAACATTGTATTAGTAGTGAATTCTTTAAGTACAAACCCTGCTCTCTAAAGAACAAGAGAAGCAGACAAGTAAATTTACAGTGTCTAAAGGGGCTTCTTGATCTTTGTTTCATATCTTTGAAAGAATACAAACTGATTCAAAGTGATTCGAAGTGGTTAAGTACCCGACATCACCTTTTTCTCAGAGTCACCATGTTTTGATGCCTCCTGCCGGAGTGAGAACTTGAGGAGCGTCTCTCCGAAGATCAGCCCTGAAGATCCCTCACTTCTCCGCTCTTTCACAAAGCCCCAGCAGACAGCCTCTGCTCACACACACTCCAGAAACTCTCTCCTGGCATTTACTGGTTTACTGGAAGAGGATTGAGGAAGAGCCGCTGGGACACAAGGAAAAGAAAAACAAAGCAAACAAAATAAGAAGCGCATTCCGCAGCTAAAACTATTTTATTTATATTCCTCTCTATGAGTCTGTGAATCCATATCTGATATCTGTTGCTCTGGGAACTCTGTGTTTGTGTCTGTTTCAAAGAAAAAAGTAATGGAATCATGAATTGCGGACAGAAAAGGCAGACCTCAGGAAAGTGTAATACTGTTACTAGCACTATGGCTGGTAAAAACATTAAGCTGAACATGAAGGTTTTTACTGATCAGGTTATTTATTTAAAATAGTTCAGGTGGGTATGTTCGTCAGCATGCATAGGCTGCAAAGGAACAAGTAACAGGTTTATTCCATGCTGAAAAGAGAAGAAAGAAAAACACAACGTTTCGGCCGTGGAGCCTTCTTCAGGTGTGAGAAAAACAGAGCAGACTGCAAAGATTAAATACCACAGAAGAACAAAAGCTGGAAAAGTGGAGGAGGAGGGAGAGGGGAGAGGCAGGGAGGCCACTCAGGAAGTGCAAAGTGGAGAGGGGTGGAGAAAGGTGTGAAGTCAGAACCGGCATGAGAATAGAGGAGATTACACGAAAATAAGTCTGTCATTGAGAGAAAGGGGAAGGTGTGAACCTAGCGTCAGGAGGAGGTTCGTTTCTATTGTCTTTCTGCTATAGGAGTTGAGAAACCCTTAACTAATTACAGCTAATTGTCTCATGTTTGCCTTTAAGACTCTGGAAATGTACAGTACACTGTATATTTACAGTATACGAGAAAACAAGTGTGTTTGTGAAAATGCTTTGATCAGTGTTTCAGTGACAGAGCTTCATTATGCTGCATGTACTGAATACATCAAGCTGTCAGGTGCTCTTCTATGACCGTATCTCCAGCTTGACTGGGACTCCACTTACCCTGACTTCTGCAGAAGACTGCCGAGGGAACCTCACTGTTGACTTCACAGGTCATGGATTTCCTGTGGTTCCCATCGGCTTCTCTGTCCTTTACTACACTGGACCATGGAAATAACACAGTGCACCAGAGTTAATATTCCGTACAGCCCATGGGCCTGCGGAGTAATGGACGGTGGCAAAAGAGCTAACCACATACTGCACCAACACAACCCCTCCCACCTTGAAATGTAAACTACTTTATATGCAACTACTTTTTATATATCAGGATTTATATATTCAACATTTTTATTTAATTTTATGTAAAACTTTAGCATGGTCAAGCAACAGTAAAACCGGGGTGTTTACCTGAAAATCCTGGGACCTTCCTGGAATGTTGGGTCTGTGGTCTTCCTCCTCTCTCTCTGTCTCAGTAAATCACATTTTACTGTAGTAGCTGCAATTTCTTTCATTTGACCTGATACAGTGCAGCCTACATGATGAAATACAGAAAGCTAAAGTTTCTCTGGGCTTCCTCTAGAATTTAAAACAAAACCAAATGGATCATATAACTGTAGCAATGACCTGAAACTTTAAAAGCAAAAGCTTAAAAAACATCAGTCTTAAAGCTGCAGCCTGCTCAGATGTTTATGAACTGTATATTTGTCTATTACTATTTACATTATTCAAATCTACCAGATCTGCTGAACCATCATTTCTAAATTGCATTTCTGAGGGAAAGGTGAGATTTATTATATACATTTTAAACGGCCAGTCAGATACACTGTTTCTAATGGATTTTGTCCATTGTTATGCATTCCATTTCATGAATAAAAAGCTTCAGCTTTCACTATATTTGGTCTTTGTTTTCCTTTTCCATTCAAGTAACAGGAAACTCAATTGTAGCCATACTACATTTCAACAAACATTATCAAATCAAGCAGACCTCTCAAAACTGAAAAACTGAAAAATGATTTATTTCAAAGCAATCCATCATAATAGTATTTTACATAGGAATGAAATAATGCAGATCAGGCTGTCGGTCCTGGCTCTGGAAGGCTGGTATGTCGGCAAGTCTCCTTTGCAACTCAATTCACAATGAGCTATATCAGCCCCTTACTGTCTTAATTGCACACATTTAACAGCTTTTATATAAGCTCTTCAGGTGCTGCTGCCTTATAGAGAAAATCTGCATCATGCTAGCCTACTTTGGAAAACAGTTTGACATAGATGACACCGATGCTTTGAAAATAATAAAAGCAGCAGATGTTTATATACTGTACATGTGGGATTAAGATTGTCTCATTACCCTAACCACGTTTATCATTCCAATTGATTAAATTAGGGTTAAAATTTTATAAACTAAAACTAATAATTGAACTCATGCCCTTTCAGATAGCATAATGTTTGCAAACAAATTCCATTTTAAAAGTTAACAGCCACCAAGTACAATAAAGCGGTAAACCATCCTCTCATCATTACTGAGCTGCTTCTGTTGGTATAGGCTGTGACAAAGTGGAGCCTATCCTGGGAGCATAGTGTACAAGGCAGGTGAAAACAACTGCTCTTCCTCTGCATGTGACCTCAGTCCATCACAGGGCCGTGGGGAAAGGGATACTTAGAATAGCCAATACCATGAAAGGGAGAGTAGGGGTATCCAATCACCTGGATAACCCGGCCAGCATGTTTTTACAATCCCTGAGGGGGAATCGAGAGTGTGTGGTGAAACATCTGGAGAATGTGCAGACTCACTAGCAAAGCACCCTCTGCCAAAGGTAAACCTGTTCTTTTACAGTTCAGTTTGACCAAAAATATGTTGTCATTTGAGATTTATAATGTGAAAACAGCTTGGTCACATACAGTAAAAGGCAATGGGCTGTGGACTGAGCTGAAAACACATAAAATCAGCAAAAACAACAGAAATTCAACCTAAAACACCTACAGCAATCTAGTTTATTGGATTTTTGTTTCGCAGTCCAATAGACCTAGGAGTTGAACCTGAACTGTAATTACACTAAGTCAGCTCATTTCTCAATACATTTTGGAGTTAATAACTGTGCTTCAAGGGCTTTATACTTTTAAAATTTCAACCACAGATCCAAGACAGTGTACCTCAAGAATTACAAAATTTCTTATTGGTAGACCAGCTAGCAAATGATGTTTTCACTTATTGCTGATTTCGAAAATAGCATGAACAACAGAACAAGTTAATTTGCATTCATCACATTTTAACTAGTGACAATCTGAGCACTAGGCAATCAGCTTACAAAATAAAATACAATTTAGATGAGTTGACTAAATGAGGAGAGCTGGATCTGTCCTTCGCCTCCTACTATGTGTTCTGTATACCTACAGTAGTCCCTGGGCCCTCACATCCATTCTGTTTACTGTATATTATTTTTACACTGATGACGCTCATTTGTCCTCCTTATTCCACTCTCTGATACCGAGGCTTCCTCCTCTGTCACTGCTTGCTTCATCGTTGTTTCTGTCAGCAAGGGCGTTAGGAGCACCCCGTTGGACCCGATGCGGCGCTGAGACTGTAGGTAGTAGCTAGTGATTGGCATCCAAACGTCAAACGCAAAAGGCAAAAGTCGTAGTTGAGGTAGAAGAGCGAGGTCGGGTATCACAAGAGTCAGGTCAAGGGTATCCAAATCCAAAAAGAGAGGCGAGACAAAGTCGAAGGAGGAGGAAACAAGGTCGGGGGGCCATAAATCAGGTCGAGAGTTGTAGTGCGCACCAGAGAAAGCCCAGGGTCATTCTCACTAGTGAGCAGGGACTGAGTGGAGTGAGAGGGTATGAATAAGGAGAAGCTTGAGGAGTGACAATTGATTATTAGTGTGCGGGTGTTGGCGGTGATAGGTGCTTGTAGGAATGCAGTTCGTGATAGTTTCCTCCTGGATGCGGAGTTACCACCTCGCCAACTCAACCTCGCTAATCTCCTTTTCTACCCATCCCTCGCTCTTCTCGGTTTCCATTCCTTTTGACTGCACTGCCTTCTCCCCCTCATCCTCTGCAGGGTGTCACTCCTGACTCCCACCTCTCCTCTTCCCAACATGTTTCTACTCTTGCCTGCTGCTTGCTAAGCAACATTCACAGAATGCACACCCTCCTTAACAACAGTTTCCTTCAACTGCTTGTCCACACCCTGATTTGTTTCTCCAAGGCTTTACAGCTATCCTTCCACTGAAACAAATGAGTGTGTCAGTTAAGCCCTGGATCTTTGCTGAACAGATTTGTCTGGTTCTTGGAAACATCGGGAGGGTTTCAGCAATGAAGCACAAGAGAACTGAATGTTCTTTATTGTGCGTAGCCAAAACTTGAGATCTTCCTCTTCGGGTTGGCTCCAGCAGGTCTCGAGTGCAGTCAGGCCCCACCCAGCCCCCGGCAGCCACTCACGCACGAAGGACACAAGCAAACTGTAACAGGACTGCTCACAAATCCAGGGCACTTATGCAGTTGGCTTATATTGGCATTTTTACAGCTGCAGCTGGTCTTAATTAACCCCTCATTATCCAATTTCCCTGACACACCCTTTCCTTCAGTATTTAAACCCTCAGTTCACCCGGTAATATCGTTCGGTATTTGGATCTCTTCCGCCTCCTGAGCTCACCTCGCCCTTTCCTCTTAAAGTACCTTCTCTTCCTCGTCTGGACTCCCTCAACGTCGACTCTGGTTTTGATTCTTGGATTTCTCCCTCTTGCCTCGCCCCTGTAGGATTTTTTTGCCTCTCCTCTTCCCTACCACTGTACCTCGTCGCCGGCCTTGGGTACCTCAGCTAATGGACGTTGCCTGGAGACCCGCACAGGGTTCGTCAATTCCATGGTTCTCACAGGCATATAGTATAATGGTCCCCACCATCCTTACTGGGCACAATAAGGATACTGTCACAAGAGCCCAGTGGCATATTGTGGGTATTCCCTCTTGAATACTGTTGCACAATTACCATAAGTCTGACATCACAAGAATTACAATGACATCATAAGAATTCTGACAGCACTAGAAATGAGTACAATCAGCCATTTTCTTTTCTGCAGCCAAACCAAGTGTACAGCTACTGATTGGATCTTGGAGAGTCAACACAAATTATGAACATACATTATTCAATAACAGAAGCAAAACAGCAAACTCAGCTTCATCGATTTTGTAATATTTATTTGAAAGTTTATTTTCGAGATAAGGTACACAGTTTTGTTTTTACAATCCTCACTCAAAGTGTATTGGTGATTGACTTGGTTAATTTTGTTTTAATGTTTAAGTACTGTGAAGACACACAATATCTGATGACAGCTAACCAATATAGTTATTAAAAATGAGAATATGTCTGACCATTGCCTAATGACAATCTGATATAAAGCTTGAGAGATCTGCAATAAACAATAGGATGTGAATTTTATTATTTTGTTTTGAATTTGTGACAGAAAATTGTTTTAATTCGAGCAGTTACTTGAAAGGTTACCTTGAAGTAAGCACAAGCCCCAATGAGCTTCAAGACGAATAGAGCAATGAAAATTGAATTCTAGACTAAAGACTGTGAAGAAATACTGTAGATCCCACTGATTAATTCAGCAATGAGAGTGGTAAAACCAAAGATCAAATTTTCATAAGCAATGTCCAATGGCAGGGAAAGGAATATCTCAGATAATGAATCTACTGCATACCATTGCCTATTCTAAATAACCAAAGGTTTCATACAAACATGAAGGGTAACATCAGAATTAAAAGTTATAGTGCGGTATGAACCCAGTTTCTCTGTGGCTCTTGTTTTAACTTATTTGATTTAATTTGAGTTGGAAATAGTCTTGAATAGACAAGAATAGCATAGACCATTGTCATTTAAAAGTTCCTGAATTAGTTAAAAGTAATAAATTAAAAAACAAACTCTAAAGACTCATTATGTACAGTATAGATCTGGTTGCCCATCTGTGATAATATAATTTGTCGGTTTGCAACATTTCACATTTTACACTTGAAGGCAGAATTTTAAATGAGTATTAATAAGCATAACTTGAAAATATGCACAGATGAAATAAAATGATATTCAAGAACTATTGCATTATGCTTGTCTTGACTGTAGCAACAAAATGTACGTGCTTGAAAGCCTTAAATAAATTAATTATTAACTAATACTTCTAATAAATTAGTTATTAAATTTATGTAATAAATGTACTAATTTTATAACTAAACTACTAATAATTCTTCATAAAAAAATCGAAAATGTTTGCATTCTTATATTATAGTCTTCTAAATGTACATTTTAAAAAAATGTATCATTCTTAATTACGTTTAATGAACAACAGTTAGAAGTAGGAATAACACTGAAATTGTGACGGTCGACATCCCTCCCCTAGAGGGCGCTCCACTACTCCCCTCATTAGTTCTGCATGATTGCTGGTATGTTCTCCAGCTGTGCCGTGTTTTGCCTCCCTCTATTTAATCCCAGTGCCTCCAGTTCTCAGGGCTCAGCATTGGGGTTCAGATGTCGTGAGGCTGCTGGACGCCTGATGGCACAGCCTCCTCCCCGATTTCGCCTGAACCGGGGGACCTCACCCCAGTCCCAGTCCCAGTCCCAGTCCCAGTCCCAGGACTGCCCGTGTTCCTGTTTCCCCTTCCCATGGATTTTAACCTCAAGCTATCGACTCAAGGTCTGTGCCCTGACCCTCCTCTGGACCTGTTCGGATTGGGACGCCTCTCTTTGTTCCCCTGTTCACGACCCATCACTGTTCTTGTGATGCACTATTAAATCCCTGTGTGTTTTCCCTGAACTACGTTTCCTGTTTCTGTA